GATCAAACAGTAATCCTGACAGATGGGCAGTGTTGCAATCTGGTCCATGCGTGATCGATTCTGCCGGAAACCTGCTTGTTCATCTCATAGTTGTGGATCAACGACGCTCTTCATCCGCTTTAGGAGGATCCGATTGAAGACCTTGCGTGGCACTGACAGGAGTGTGATACCTCTGTAGTTGTTACAGTTGCTGAGGTCACCTTTTTTTTGGAAGATTGATTAGATAGCCCTCCTTCCAGTCAGTCGGTATTTCTTTTTCCTCCCAGATCATCTTAAAGAGTGGGTACAGCATCTCCACTGATGATTTGAGGTCTGCTTTCAGGGCCTCTGCTGGTATGTCATCAGCTGCCTTCACCTCTTCATCAGGGTGATGGCCTTCCCGATCTCTTCTATTGTCAGCTTGCTGCAGTTGATGGGGAGATCTTCATTGGCTGGCTTGAAATCTGGAGGATTTGGTGGTGCTGGTCTGTTCAGGAGCTCCTCAAAGTGTTCAGGCCATCTATTCATATGCGCTAGTCCTGTGATGACCTTTCTCTCCTTTTCCTTGATTGGTTGTTCTGGCTTGCTGTACTTCCCAGACAGTTTCTTTGTTGTGTTGTACAACTGTTTTTATGTTGCCATTGTATGTTGCCTGTTCTGCTTCAGCTGCCAGTCCATCTATGTAGTCTTTCTTGTCCTTCCTAATGTTCTTCTTCACTGCTCTGTGGGCTTCTGTGTATTCCAGTGGCAAAACAAGAGAGGGAGGGAAATTTACGTGAATGATGACAGGAATCTCCACCAATAAGCTAATACTTGGCACTGGAAGCTGTGGTGGTTAGGGTTAGGGTTAGAGGGTAGGGGTTAGGGTTAGGGAGCCCTAGAGATGTGCAAGTGGTTGTGGTGGCAAAGTGCTTTGGATTTCTTAATCCAGTTCCGAATTGCTGACATTCAGAATTGCGGAAGTTCTGAAGTTCCGAATTTCCGAATGCCGAACTGAACCAAATGCCATTGGTCCAAATTGCTGAAGTAGACAAATTTTTTTTACTTACCCAAATTTCCGAACCGAACCAAACTAATTTTTTGCCCATGCACATCCATAATGCTGATGATGGACACTGTGTGCTTCCAGTGCTTCCCTACACTCTATGACTAATTATGGAGAAGGATTAGTTCAAGTTCAGTGGAAATATTAACCAATTTTAATAACAAACAACAAAACAAAAAACAATAGAAATCCAGAATTCTTAACTCATTAAATTGGTGTGTGTTCCTTTAAGGTAATAATGACATGAGAAAGGAGGGATATTGATAATCATTTATATTGGATTGAAGAAAAATGTATGCACCAGGCATACCTTTCAAAAACATATTCTTGTTCCTTATACGGCAAGACCATTGTAGCAAATATTACAGTTGGCAAACATTGTGATTTTCTTTAATTTTTCTGCCACAGAGTTTTGAAGTGTTAAAATGATCCCTTAATGATTTTCTTGATTAGATGATAGGTAGATAATGAAGTGCTTAAAACTTATAGACGATAATTTGCATTTCAAGTGCTTAGTCTATGAAATACATCAGAACATGAAAATTCAAAGCTTTCTACAGCTTGAGAAACCTAATTCCTGACATTTCATGTTAATTTTTCTCAGTGAAGAAAAACATAGCAATGAGATTCAAAATAGAAATAGATCCCCAATTGATGTACAATAGTAAAGACCCTTAAAATGTCCTTACATTCTGCACTATTAAGTAGCAAGCTTGAAGATTTGAACTGCAGTTTAGCTGACATCTGGGCAATTTTGAACCACCACTTGGAAAACATTAAAAAAGAGTGATAGAATAGAAAACATATAGATAAAAAATGACAAAGTCTCAATAAAAATGAGACTGAAAACTGTTTTTTTTTTTTTTTTAAGCAATATAAGGAATACTTAATACATATTATAACTTTAAGAAACCAGCACTGAGCATTGGTAAAAAAGATTGTCCATTAATCTATAATAAGATATATTGTGTATGGTATATTGTATATATAGATACCAAACAAGTGCCACAAAAATTGAATAAAATTAAAATACTTTAATGAGATTCTAAGAATTTTCATCAAGGTGACCACACAGTTCTGCAATTTTTAGGTATAGAACTAGTCAAACTTGACCAAAGGAAAGGGAACCTGGATAAACTCCTTAGGAGGAGAGAGTGTTTTTGGATTTACCGTCTGAACACCCTGTCCCCTATGGGGTTGAATGAAGGTTTTTCCTACTCCCCCTTTATTAGTGATCTCTGATAAAAAAAAACACTATCTTTGATAGGAACTTTACAATATTTTATGACTTTGAAATTAATTTATTTAGTCTCACTTAAGTTACAATTTCTTTTTATTTTTAATACCTCCAATATTTAATGTTATTTGTGACTTTTAAGCGATAGATCTTTCCTTTCCTTTAGCCTTATTATTATTTTTCGTCTTTTGTTCTAGGCATCTTCCATCATGTGATGGTTTGCAGTATTCTCAGTCTGTCATTTATAGCATTGTTGGGACACTGTCTCACTGTGTGTATAGTCTATATCCGGTCCTTAATGGACAGATAGACAGATATTCTATATATAGCACTCTGACTTCCACTTTTATTCTATATCTTTTGAGATATGTCTATATTGGTAATCCATATGTACATAAATATCGACATACACATATGTTTTGTATACATTTATTTAGTCCCATACTTTGCTGCAGTAGATTTGATATTTTTACACTAAAATTGACTGAGTTTCCATTGTATTATAATGTATCTGATACACTTACATGGTTACACTAAAATTGACTAAGTCCCTACAGTATTCACATTGTATCCGTTACATTTATATTTGCCGGCAATGAGTTATTTAGCTGCAAATCGCCATGGTATTTTTTTTTTCTTTCCCCATCTGTACTCCGCCCACTATTAACATGCGGGAGTGAGTAAAGGAGGAGCTTTCCCCTCCCTGTGTGACGTACGTAGCCACGTGGGAGCACCTTTGATTCCGCCCCCCGCCATTGACCTACGTGGAATCGGACTCATAGATGGGCGTTTCTATTCCCATGTAGGTGTGGACACGCATACAATTTCTCCACCTACATTACGCCTCCCTACACACCGGTGGAGGTTTACTTATAATTTCAAGACGTACAGGATTGGCTATCAAGGATTTAAAAGTTAATCTTCCCCACGAGGTATTTCTTATCCCCTGACGAAGGTGCATCAGAAGCACCGAAACGCGCGTCGGGTTCTCATCTAACTCACACTCTCTTCACTAATGGTGGCACTAGCTTGTTAAGCACTTTAGTTATATTCCGTTTTCAGCACTGAGCTATCGAATTGGAGGGGGACAGGCAGTAATATCCGTTCCATTTCCTCTCTTTCGCTCTCCTCTTTTAGGGACAGTGTAGAACACCCTTGAAGGTGTTTGCTTTAGGAGTTGCAGGGACTTTATATTTTCTGCTCTATATTTCCTCACTTTGTATATGTTGTTCTGTCCAATTTTTCCTGATTGGGGGGCTTTCTGCCTTTTCATATATTATTAGGGACAGCACAGAATATTGATTGCTCAGTATAGAATACTCTAATATAGGAACGACAGGGCAGATCTATTTGATACCTATATTCTCCCCTCCATAGATATTCGATCCATTTTTTTTCTATTCTCATTCAATTTGATTTTGATAGTCCATCTATAGTGCCATTTTGTCTTTTTATAGAATCTCAATAAAGTATTTTAATTTTATTCAATTTTTGTGGTACTTGTTTGGTATCTATATATACAATATACCATATACAATATATCTTATTATAGATTAATGGACAATCTTTTTTACCAACGCTCAGTGCTGGTTTCTTAAAGTTACAATATGTATTAAGTATTCCTTATATTGTGTAAAAAAAAACAGTTTTCAGTCTCATTTTTATTGAGACTTTGTCATTTTTTATCTATATATTCTATTTCGGGTACAGGCCCTTTATTTGGTGGATCTGGAACCACCATCCTGACCTATGTGAGTTCCACTCTCACAGTTTTGTGATCTGTGGATACACACGCTCTATGCTTAAAATACTAGAATAGAAAACAGTCTGTTTCCTTGTTGCTGTTTTTTTTTTTTTTTTGGTTAGGAACAAATAAATAACTTAGTTTGCCATGATAGACAAGAGGTCTGCCCAAT